AGGACTACTGGCGTCCTGACGTGGGATAGAAAGTGACTTGATATATGATGATTATCACTGGTGCGTGAACAGAGAATGCAGGTAACACCTGTTCTTAATAGCGGATCAAAGTGAATCCCCCCCTGTCCGACATCAAGTCCTAGATGAGGGCTAACTTTCTCCAACTCAACGTCAGCAAGACGGAGGCCCTCCTGATTGGCTCGCGCCAGCACCTCCACACCTCAGGCACTGGCAGCATCAGCCTCCACAGCTGCACACTCAACCTCACTAAGCCAGACAGGAACCTGGGTATCTTGTTTGACCCTGAACTGTCCTTTCTCCACCACATCCGCACCATGACCGGCACTGACTACCACCACCTACGCAATATTGCCAGACTCTGCCACTGCCTGCCTCACCCCACAGGCTGCCGAAACTCTCACCCATGCAATGGTAATCTTTCAGTCGAATTTCAACAGCTTGAGACAGGTGATAACAGCACATTTGTCTGCATCTGCACTCAAAGCTGCTTGTGTGAGTGAAACCCGGCTTATTTAACATCTATCAGTAGTCACAAAGATTAAAATGCAGTGGCATGCATGCATTTACAAAGGAAAAAATAATATATGTTCAAGGTGGTCAGAGGGAGCACTGAACTTCCAACCCATAGGGTCACAAGTTTGAATCCCAGCCTTGAAGCGACATTCAAACTCACTCACCCATAATGAGAGATTTTGCTCAACCCGTCCTGGCTGAAGGAAGCAGTGTAGTATTGGGACAGCAGCAGTTAGTGATTATAAAGGGGACAACATTCATTCAACAGGTACAATTCTCTGGATTTGAAATTCAATAGCTTGACACAGTGACACATTGACACCGTTGACACTGAAAAGCTCTGTCCATTTATGCAAAACATCCAGGATGAGATGCTAACTTGACGGGCTTTCTCTTTGGTGATGTTAAAACTGAGAACTGAAAAAAATATTTGCCCAAAAGTTAATTTGGAAAAAATAGACTTGGTTGTTTTGGGGACATTGCTGCACAAATCAGCTGCTGTATTGGCCTAAAAATACAGTCACTACACTTCACAATAAAATCCTGGGCAGCTCTTTGAGACATCTCGAGTGACTTGGTCATCGAGATGCCCCCTCCCTCCCTCACCAATTTCAAATCCTGCCTAAAGATCTTCCTTTTTGATCATACTTACGGTCACCTCACACCTCCCTCTACCTCTGGCTCGGGGTCAGACTCCACCACTGTCATGCGCTCCGGGATGCTAGCCTGTGGGAAGGACGATATACAAATGAAAGTTGTTTAAAAAAAGGTGTACTTGCATTCCTTGTATTTCCCGACAGTATCTGAAAATTCAACGTTTAGATATTTTCAGTTAAATGCAGTCAGGCAGGCCCATGTTTGAGCCCTTATTGCGAGTGAGCTTCTCTTGATATGCAGAGTGGTGTCGGCAGATAATAATAAATAATAATAATCCTTGCATTTGATATAGTGCTTTTCACGTCTTCTAGATGCTTCACATAATAAACTGTACAGTGAATTGACTGTATTTTTGTGGGCGAATCGCAGCTGCCAATTGTGTTGGGACACAGCAGTGTCCCACATCCAGTCGTGGATTGAGTGACCAAATTATTATTGTTTGTTTTTTTTCTTGAGGGATTATTATCAGGCCTGTGGAGTAAGGAAACTTGCCCAAGGTATGATTATTGGGAATTGAACCCAGGTCTCTCACTTGCGAGGCTAGTGCTCTAACTATTCAGCTACAGGACTCCACTCCAGATAACCTCCTTCAGCTTGTCGGCAGCTATGAGCTATCCAGAGGCCACTCGAGCCTGGCCAGAGAGGGTTTAACAGCTGCAATGCACCAGGGCCAGCAACGTGTGTGGCTCAAAGAAAAGACTGGCAGAAATTGTGATCTGACTCCACATGTACAGCCTCATGGAATTGTAGCTGACAGGATGGGAACTTCATCCTTAAGACTGACCTATGTTTACCAGATAAGCATTCCATCAGTAGCTCTGGGACAAAACCTTGTGTGAGGGGCGCTGTATAAATGCAAATTGTTGTTGTCATTACTGAAAGGAATGCTGGACTTAGAATTGTCATGTAACCCAAGGTATTCTGAAAGGAGATATCCACCGATATAGAGACGTGTGAACAGACAGTTTGTGGAATCTATCGCCTGTATGTTTTTTTTTACACACACAGACCCACATCTTCAAAACGCCACAAATGTGGGAAACAAAAGGCTAAAGGCTGCAACAACTAGTAGTGCATCACAGAACAGGGGGAGCAATGGGCAATAGCAGAGAAGTGTGGAATAAAGAAGCTTGCCTAACGTTTCGCCCATCCTGTGAATCAAACCCAGGTCCTCTCGTTTACATGGCGAGTGCTCTTACGAATACAATACAGGACAACAACAACAACAATTTGCATTTATTATGGCGCCCTTCACGAAGGGTAGCGTCCCGGAGCACTTGAACACACGGGCTCCACACAAGTGCACTGATCAATTAAAAGAAACATCACGGATTCCTCTACAAGAGAAGGGTCAGAGCTTCGAAAACATCATTGCTAAAACTTCTGATTGGCATCATGGTGCTCCCATGATTTCTGTTCCCAAGGCCCTGCAATTACAGCCCTCAGGTACTAATTACTAGTGGATGCAAATGCTCCTCAGAGCTGGTGATGCTAACACCATCCAAAAGTGATTTTATTGCTATGGCAACAAGTTATATATATTTTTTGCTCTTACGCTAGTACCATTAGGGTAAGAATCAGATTTGAATTTAATAAGAGCTGCATTTTAAGTTTAACACAAAGAAGAGTGGGGGTTTTCAAGTTCATCAGTATGACGCGGAAAGCACACCACTCTATCAGCTGCAATAATATTAAAAATAATCTCCAATCTTGTTTAGCATTTCATCCACAGCCCCATCGGTGGCCGAGCTTTCAGATGCTACTTTCTCGAAAAAAATGAACCATTAGAACCTCTCTATTCCTCCATCTCGCCCACACTCTCTTCAAATAGTGCTAGGGGAAATCTTCAATGCTCATCTGAAGAGGCAGTTTACGTGCCTCAGTTTTCTTTTACGTTTGCATTTGAAATTGCATCAAATATAGTTTTGATGTTCTTTACCCTACCGAACACGTCCAAAATATTATAAGGACGAAAATCCTGAGCTCTTTAATGATTCTATGAAAGGACCAGTCAGTGTAGCACTGAACCTTAGGGAGCAGGTGGTGTCTAGTTTGATTGAATTCTTAAATCTCTCTTTTACCTGCTCAGTACTCTCTGTTATCTGTAAAGCACTTTGAGATGTTTTTCCTGCATGAAAGGCGTCGTTCGAGTGCAAGCTGTATTAGCCCTGCGTAAGCATGCACAAATTAAACAAACGTTTTCCAATTTTCAAAAGTTCGCAAAGGCCACCGCAGGCTTGCTGTGGGTGTTATTCTCCCGTTAACTGTTCACTCCATCAATCTTGTGGTGCTGCTTCATTAAGTCAGGTAGGCTCCAAGTATCACCCGGTGGTTAAATATTCACTTTTCAGCTGCGCAATTTTACATTAATTCCTCCTTGTCAGTCTTTAGTAAACTAACACTTTTTTTACACCATCTATTTTAATGTTGGAATTTCAGTAGCAGCATACGAAACGATTGGTTTGCGCACACCTATCCAATTCCATCCCTCGAAAGCATCATTTTAAAAAATAATAATAAATTGGTCACTTGATCCACGCACACAAAAGGTACAGTCAATTCGCTTTACAATATATTTTGTGAAGCACTTTGAGACGTCTCGAAGACGTCACAAGGTGCTATATCAATTGCAAGAATTATTATCCCAAACATGTGCCCGCATTTTGCCGAAATTGGATAACGGGAACATTTTTGGGCACCGTGCATCTTTAGGAAGAGGCATGTTCAAAATCATATTTTGCAAAAGATTAACCCTTTTAGGGCTGTGTGTGCTTTTTCAATCTTACCAATACTGTAAATTGTGCATGTTCACACTGGAAAAGAGAAGATTGAGAGGCGACATGGTTGCTGTCTTTAATATTCTAAAGGGACAAGACAATATAGATCATGACAGACTGTTTCAATTTGCTCAGAATAGTAAAATAAGACAACACGGCCCCTTGATTGAAGGGGGTAAATTCAGGACAAATCTACGAAACACTGTTTCAGTGAGCAAGTAGAAAACCCGTGGAACAGGCTCCCTAGGGAGATGGTGGAAGCAGGAAGTGTTGATTCTTTCAAACACAGATAAGATAGTTTTCTTTTAGAAAATAACATTATGGGATATAGTACATAAGTAGTTCAGGAGATATATGCATGTGACCGCCAGGAAGGTGGAAGGCGAACTAGACGGACTTTGTTTTTTTGTCTAGTATTGCTTATGTTGTTATATTCTTATGTACTGTCCTCTGGCATATTGACCACATTGGGGTCTAGAATGGAACTTGGACTAATAACTTGTGGGCTAAATATCCTGTGAGCAAATAATTTTGAAACATATGGAGGTGCCTTTAATTATATAATTACCAATAAATAGGAACACAGATTCACTGGTCACATTATTGGTGGTTCAAGGCACAATTAAAGGAACCTGTATGTTTGTGAACATGATTTGTCCATGGGCGATTAACCCAACTTGCATATTACTCCCTGATGTATCAAGCTGCGGTGGGAGAATCTTAACTTTAACAGTGCAAATTTTGCATTCCAAAAGGCAACCACATCTTGTTTACTGCAGCGCACTTTTGGGAAAGTGTGATGATAACAGTTCGGATTGGCTTCTATTCTGGACCAACAGTGTAGAACCTCAGTCAATAGCATTGGCTTATTCTTAATCTCAGTAAATGATAACAATTCTTACATTTGATATTGTACCTTTCACATCTCAAAGAGCTTCCTTCACAGGATATGCTGCAAAGTGTAATGCCTTTTGCACAGTGAAGGCACAATGATTAACCAATATTGCTATTTTCTTATATTGTATGTTTCAGGTGCCCCAGGATGAATGGGCAGGATATCCACTGGGAGGCAAAGATGAGGAGATTCCTTGCCGGAGGATGAGGAGTGGCAGCTACATTAAAGCCATGGGAGATGAAGAAAGCGGAGAGTCTGACACGAGCCCTAAAGGTTCACCAAAGGCAGCGACTCTCCATGAAACTCTAATGAAAGCTGCTGGTCAGAGAGCAATTGATCAACAAAAGTAAGAACATCAAGTGTCAGTCTTTCCTCCAGTGAGGAGCACACTGAAGGTGGGAGGGTGGGGGTTTGGGGGTGGGGGTGTGTGGTGGGGGGGCGGACTTGGGGAAGAACTCAAATGATTGTAATTTACACTACTTTAATATCCAAAGTAAACAGCAACATATATATCATCTGAACCATGTTACTGCCTAGAAATCCTGGAGTATTGTCATGAATGGTAATGTTCCCAATGAGTGACTGCGTTGCAAGTCTTATATTGAGGTGCATGCTGCAGAGTGCATAGGACCTGAGCCATGGTACAAGATGATGAGAAGGGGCTAAGATGTACCTTTCATGAACAGATTCACAAATAGAAACTCTGAGTAACAACGAGGGACTCCTGACAGAACTCCGAGGTTGATGGCATTTTAGATACTCAGGATGTCTGAGGTGTTGTACAGTGTGTGGTCTGGTGAGGTGTGCGTATTTGACAGCTATATTCAATGACCAAACTATCACAATGTGTATCAGAAGCAAAATTGGTTACTGAAATAAAACAAATAACACAACATATACCACAAACTGGGCCCCAGTGTTTTCCAGAATGGAATGCGCTGCTGAAAGAGTGGTGGAAGCAGATTCAATAATAACTTTCAAAATGGAATTGAATAGATACTTGAAAAGAAAAAAAATTGCAAGGCTATGAGGAAAGAGCAGTGAGACTAACTGGATAGCTGTTTCAAAGAGCTCAAACAGGCACAATGGGCTGTAGGATTCTATTATTCTTGTTATTACAGCAAACCTCTGGCTTACCAGATACCCTGGTATCTGGAATTCATACCTAGCCAGACTGGATCTGAATAGGACATTTTTAAATAAAATTTCCATGGGCCAGTGTGCGTGTATACTCCCGCTGACCTCACTCGGCCCCCACCTCACTATTCTTACTGGCCTTCAGTGGCTTGCGATATTGACTTTGACTCAATTTGAATCCTGTGAACAGAAGATACCTTATTTGCTGCCTTCTGCTTGTGGGATTCAAACAATTACAATGACAGTACCTACACTCACCAGCATTTATTGGCACTGAGAAAAGCCAACGCTGAAGAATGCCGGTAAATGCCTGTACCAGCATTGTCATTACATTTACCTGATATTCCAGCTCATTGGACAGGATCTTCCCTCCCATCAGTTGGGGTTTCAGTGTATTAAGTACCAGTTCTGAACTGTGCTATCATTTGTCTCTCAAATTCGCAGGATGAAGATTGGCATTGTGCCATCATCACACTAATGTCTCAAGGCAGCGAGATTGCACTTTTTGGAAAAAAAGGCAGTGATAGAATTCCTTACGTTGTTTTTACTTAATACTTCAGCAGGCTTGAAATGACATAATTAGCTTGGAGGAAAGAGCATTTGTTTTAATGATGGTTTACGGAACAAATAGAAGACTAATAAGTACAGGCAGTAATGAAACCTGATCTTAAAACCACTAACAACTAGAGAATGACAGGACAGGGCTGATTAGCAGCCATCAGTAAAAGTATCTCCTTGTAAACGGGAGGTTGGGAAAAACGTCTTTACTCAGAGGATGGATGTAAAGTGGAATCCTCCATCACGCGCAAAAAAAAATGCACTCACTATGACCCTGAAATGTTATTTTTTATAATCAAGAGCAAAGCATTCTGTCACAAGTTATAAACCCTAGGAAATCAATATCAATCAAAATACAGAGGCTAGAGACCAATGTAGGTCCTAAAATTTATCAAATAAAGTTACTGGCTCCTCAAGGCCACCACATGACCCTGAGAGGAACAAGCTACTTACCTAGAGAGGGGTGCCACCTACTGATAATGCTCACAGTGTTCCTTAGATAAGGAAAGGAGTTGTAAGTTAGTGTCTTGTAAGTTCCTATTCAGCTTCAATTGCAAGTCACTTTTTACATGAAAGATGGTTGTGATGATGACTCTAAGGGTGCTTCAGGCAAGCAAAGACATCAAATAAATATCATTCATTTGAAATGCAGCATTGACTCACCATGGCAGCTGGTGGAACCCCAAAGTAGGCAAACTCGTAATCCAGAAAGTTCACCCACTGCCAAGGGAGAGGCTTTCATCATCACACAGTGCAGTTTTTTGGGTCAGTTGGTGCCTGACATGTAGAAACCCATCAGCATTAAGAGCATCCAAACCAAACTGAGAATTCCATGTATCCCACCGATACCCGAGATATTCATTAGAATGGAATGTGCACTCTCTCCCTGGAGAGACACATGCTGCTTACCTAATTCCGTAGAGTACTACTATTCTCTTTTACAAGAATGATACCAGGGCTGGCAGGTTACTGGATGGGTTAGCCTCTTTTTTACACTACAAGAGACATTTACAAGGAGACCTAAAAGAGGCATTTAAAATTATAAAAGGGTTTGATAAGGTTAGCATAAATAGGCTGATCTCACTTGTTGGGGAGTCGGTAACCAGCGGACACATGTATAAAATGCAAATTTACATTTACATATTGCCTTTTACATCCGGGGGATATCCCAGGGTGCTGAAGAGTCTAAGGTTTACACCCATGCTGGGTTGAGAAGGGAAAAGATAACTGAAAGAGCAGTCAAAGAGGAAGGTCTTGAGGCAGGCCTTGGAGAAGGAAAGAGAAGCGGCAAGTCAAAGGGATTCTAGGATGGAGCTCCAGAGTGTGAAAGCTGGTAGGGCAGAGGACGTTAAACAAGTCAGCGCCCTCAGAGTGGAGGGAGCGACAGTTTGGTAGGATAAGTTAGCGACTAGGGGATCCTAAAGAGAATTTAGGAGGAACTGCTTCACACAGAGGATAATGAGAATGTGGAATTCGCTGCCTGAAGTGGTGGTTGAAACAAATCTTATAGATGCATTCAAGTTAGACTTTCACATGCGGGGAATAGAAGGGTATGGGAGGGGAGAAAGGAGTAGGTGGAGTTTAAGCACCGACACAGACTAATTGGATTGAATGGCCTGTTTCCTTCCTGTACAATTTATGTAAATCTAAGTAAAAAAAAGTTATAAAATACATTGCAACGTTAATCAAAATTAAATCCACAAAACACACGGAAAGACATCAGCAAACTAACCAGAAAGCACCCAATGTTGACTGACACAGTTTAAGCCCACAATTATAATGTAATTATCTTCGTCCCACTCTAATTCATAGTTTGACATCCCTGGCAAGTTTTGAATGCATGTTACTGAAGGAAAGCAGCACAATAAGACAAGAGTGCAGGACCTTTCACCCCTTGTGTTCTGACTGATTAATGACTCATGCTGCACTTTCAGAACTGTTTTTCATTCCACCAACCTGACTGTGTCATCTGAACATGAAAGACGTTTTATCTTCATAAAATAAACCCTTCTTTTGTTGGTTTTACATAAACTGCAGCAGAATGATTCACAAAATCCATATTAAACCATCATTTGGGTGTCACGCTGCAAGATGGATCTTTTTTCAACAAAAGTCAAACAGTTTTTCATTGAAGACCTTTAATAATCGATCAACATTTCTTTTTGAAAATAACAAGGGGAGGAAAGCACCTTCGCCTGGGGAGAAATTCCACCCGGGTCTACATTTACTTGATTTTCTTAGCATTTTCAGACCATTCAAAACTGGTACATTGTTGAATTCAGTCTTAACTTTGAAGCCGTTTTTCTGCAGATCTGAAAAGAAACTTATTAAGAAAAACAGCTTCAAAGTCAAGACTGTACTGAAGAATTTGTCAAATTCTGGACGCTCTGAGGTGATACATAACTAGATTAAATCTAGATCCTGGTCAAGCATTGGGGAGGTGTCCTTCACATAGTATAGCATCTTAGAAGGCTTTACAAAGACAGACTTGGACGCCGAGCCAAGTAATGCAGAAGACCATTAGGGTGGTCAAACAGGTAGGTTTTAAACTCCCTCCTTCCCTCCATCTTTAGGGTTTAATCCCTCAATCTCTGGCTTAGTAGGCGATAATAATAATAATAATAATCCTTGCATTTGATATAGCGCTTTTCACGTCGGGAGGACATCCCAAAGTGCTTCACAGAACACACTGTAAAGTGAATTGACTATATTTGTGGGCGAACGTGGCAGCCAATTGCGCACAGCAATGTCCCACAAACAGTCGTAGATTGAAAATGACCAATTTATTTATTGTTTTGGGTTTTGGAGGGATTATTATTAGGCGTGTGGAGTAAGGAAACTTGCCCAAGGTTTCGCCCTGCCTGGAATTGAACTCAGGCCTCTCGCTTGGAAAGCGAGTGCTCTAAACACTGAGCTACAGGACTCCACAGACAGTGGGATAATGGGAGTGAGTTCCAGAGATTTAGGGCTGCAGTATCTGAAAGCTTGAGCATCGAAGGTGGCAGGGAAAAGGTTTGGCAATGGGTTGCAAACCCATGTTAACCAAACAGTGAATGGGATTGGAGAAGATCACAGATAAAGTGAGGTGCTCTATCGTGAAAGGATTTACTGGTGAGGACCATTAATACCATAAAAACTGGAAAAAATATTCTTCAAAGGGTACAGCAGTTTCTTCTGCTGGTCAGGGCTGGAGTCATGTTTTCTTTGGAAAAGGACCCAAAGATGTATACTGTTTTAGCAGATGGCTGGAGAAGAGATTACCTTACATGGGGCAAAAGTGTCTCAGATCTCCCAGTGTAAATTTAAATAGAAGAAAATAGCCTCAATGGTGCCCGAAACTCATTTGTGACAGAGAGATAGAATAAAATGATATTGATAAATATTAAAGCATTGCAGAGAACTTAAGATGCCTATCTTTATTGGACTGACAAGATTATTTCACAGTTAATGTAGATGTCCACATATTGCTAAAAACCTAAGGGTGGTAAAAGTAACCACAAGGCTAACGTAAAGTAATCAATGCAGTCATTGAGAAGCAGAAATGTGGATTAATTCACACTGGATCTAATTTGTGGTGTTTTGTAACTGGATTCCCTCATGAGGCCTCAAAAGTTGTGTAAATGAAATGTCTCTGGTAACCAGAAATACATTGCGCTAACCCTTGACATCTCTGCTCCTACATGATCTAATCCCAGAGTAGAATTCGAATTCCTACAAAATTCATATGTGGAATTCTGATATGAAATCCCACAAATTACATCTCACTAGTCTGTCTTCTAATAATTACACAAAGATTGCTGTGTTATGTTCAAACTAAATCAAACTACAAAAGGAAAGATGTTCTAGCAAGTCCTCTTTGTCTACTTCCCACTTTGACATGTGCATTGGCAGTTGCAGTGAATGACGTTACAGTTTCTATTGCCGAGTGTTGAAACTCCTGTTATAGTTTCTTTATCCATGCCTTCAGTCATCCTCCTAGCTTCCCACCCTCCCTGCCCTCCACCTCTCCTGCTCCCAACCCTTAGCTCAGGTGCACATGCTTGACTGTCCAATGCTTTGCTACGTCCTCCCATCGTGAAAGGCGCTATAAAAATGTAAGTTGCTGTTGTTCTAGTTCCAGTGTTTGCAGGTGTAATGACTGGGAATATTGATTTAAATTCTTATTTTGTGCTCTACGTTTTTTTTCACGTGCAGCCAGAGCTACCTACAACCTGCAACCGAAGTCACCAACCACAGCCTAGATCCCGCGGCCAACTACAACTCCCCCAAGTTCCGCTCCAGGAATCAAAGCTACATGCGAGCTGTGAGCACCTTTAGCCAGGCTAGCTGTGTCAGTCAGGTGAGATTCAAGCCTTAAAAACCTCTTAGGATTCTCAGCACCTCAACGTGAGTCATCATTAGAGTCGCATGGAGTCGTATACCATAGTGGTTAGTGCACTCGCCTCGTAAGCGAGAGGACCTGGGTTCGATTCCTTAACAGGGCAAAACCTTACTCCACACACCTATGTTTACCTTGTAATAAGTAGGAACCCGGTTGGCAGTCGATTGGCGGATCAAAATACAAAGTCAATTCCTTTTACAATATATTCTATGAAACACTTTGAGATGTCTCAGCAATGTGATAAGGCTCTATATCAAATGCAAGGATTATTATTAACATTATATTATATCACTAGCTGTACCCGTTGCAACTTTGCTTGCAACCAAAGAATCCAATATGGAATGTAGATTGACACACAGACAGACATTTTGTCTTTATTAGTACAGATAGATGATTATTATATGAAATTATATACATAAGGGAAGGGAGAGTGGGAGGGACTAAACCCCAGCCCCAGATGAAGCCCCAATTCAAGCCCCAGGCTTCACACTCCCCGGCTATTCGCTGCTAGGCTGGGGCAAGGAGGAACTCGAAAACCCCGCAGCCTTACCAAGCCAACCATCAGCCATCATCCGCCACTGGACCAACTCCAACATGGCGCCACCCAGCCGGGACCGCCCAGGGTCAGCAAGGAAAGCAGCCGAATGGCAACACCGCTCCAGGCAACTTCCACCTCACCAGCGCCATCTTGTTCCCATCGCTTGGCTTCATCTAAGTGCATGCTGCCTGTGTACGTGCTCTGACACACGATGCCACAGCACCACTGTGAGTCAGCGCGGACACCAGGTGTAACTGCAGAGCAAAACGCACAACTTCCATACAGATGTAATGAGCTTGTTTAGTTAATAACTCATCAATGTTAGGAGATCCCTGAAAACAAACATGCCCATGACACTCCTAGATGCAAGACCTTTCCGACGAGGTACAAATCATGTCTCTACGTCAATCGGTTATTGAAATCTTGGCTGATGCACAGAGACATTGTCGTTTTATTAGTATAGATTAGAGACCTTTGTTACTTCTTATTAATTTAACCAGAGTTAAGCGGAGGAGAAAATGAAGTGTGTGGATGAAAAAGCCTTGGTGATTGTGATAAGTACTTTTATGCATTAGAAATCTGCTGTGCAGCAAGATGAAAAAGAATTATCATTTCAAATTAAAATAAATAAATCCACTTTGATTTCATTCGTGCAAAGTCATGCACTTAGCACATTGCAAATGTTACACTGCTGCATTAACCCTCAACACTTCGCTCACCTTTTGGGTTGAGCACGGATCAAAGCAAATTCTCAAATGGTTTAATTGAACTGGGCCAAAAAGCTCAGCTTGATTTTAAATATAGCACCTTGTCATGTCTCAAAGTGCTTCGCAAAGTGGATTAACTGTATTTTGTGGGCGAAACGCGTCAGCCAATAACGCACAGCAGTGTCCCACAGACAGTCGTGGATTGAGTGTTATTCTTTTTTGAAGGAATTTTTACCCCCAGAAAGCAATCTGCCAAATGACTAACAACTTAGTTTCTATTTTCTAGGTAAACAGAGGTGTGTGGAGTAAGGAAACTTGCCTAAGGTTTTGCTCTGCCTGATATTCAAACCTGGGTCCTCTCGCTTGCGAGAAGAATGCTCTATACCATAAATAAGGATTATTATTATTCAAGCATATATATGCACCTTAGTAGACGTTGGGATGTCCTCCTGACGTGAAAGGCGGTTTACAAATGTAATTTTGTTATTGTTGTTGCTATATGGTGATCAGCAAAGGAACCCTGCCTTAATTATCTCCCTCACAACCAGAATAAAATAACAGCAGAGTGTACAGTTAGGCGTATTGAGCATGTATCTGGGAACAATCATTAAGGAAGTTTGTCAAATATAATAATAATAATAATAATAATCCTTGCATTTGATATAGCGCTTTTCACGTCGGGAGGACGTCCCAAAGCGCTTCACAGAATATACTGTAAAGTGAGTTGACTGTATATTTGTGGGCGAACGCGGCAGCCAATTGCGCACAGCAATGTCCCACAAACAGTCGTAGATTGAAAATGACCAATTTAATTATTGTTTTTGTTTTTTGGAGGGATTATTATTAGGCGTGTGGAGTAAGGAAACTTGCCCAAGGTTTCGCCCTCTGCCTGGAATTGAACTCAGGTTCTCGCTTGCAAAGCGAGTGCTCTAACCACTGAGCTACAGGACTCCGAAGGAAAGCCTTCACCCAATGCAATATACCTGGAGGGTTATATTTCACTTTTCACTATGTGTAGTGATTTTGACAATGTGCATTTATAATGAGACTGCCCCATTGCACCATATATAAAAGTTGCTACACTTAACAGCAAACAGAATACTTATACACGTGAGAAATGATCTCAGTGAATTCTGGACAGCTTGGAATATGAGCTATGGGCAACCTTCCAGTCTTTTGGTGAAGCGTATAGGGGAAGCTTTCTAGTATTTGTCCCTCCATGATTCCTGCAAGGGAAAGCTTTCATCAGTGAAGCCTGAAGAGCCAGTTTAGGTGTCATTTTGACACAGTTGGTTGCAATCTTCGGCTGGGTCAGAAGATTTTAGGTTCAAGCACTGTGTTGGCAACTTTAACTCATACTCAAGACTGAGAGCACAGTGTTGACAAAGGTGCTGTTATTCATAAGTGACAAACCACAGTCTCATTTGCCTATTCATGTGGTCATTAAAATTCCTATGACACTATTTTACAATTCACTTTACAGTATATTCTATGAAGTGCTTTGAGATGTCTCGAAGATGCGATAAGGCGCTATATCAAATGCAAGGATTATTATTACTATTATTTTAAAAGAGAAGGAAGTTTCTCCCGGGGTCCTGACTAACAATTCTCCAGATAAATTGGTTATTCTCTTTGTGGGACCTTGCTGTGTGCAAAATGGCTTCTGTATTTGCCCTTAAATACATTAAAGGAATTTTGTGAAGCGCTAGTATGTCAAAGAGGATTTAGGCTCCTTTCCGTCTCAAAATCCAGTCACACTGATTGGAGAATGAGTCAGCATTTCAGGAATCAGTGTTGTCAGAGCCACTGATTTTTTCCTGTAAGTGTTATAGCAACTACATACATATCTTGAAATGGTAAGATAGAAGGAGAGTTGTGTTTTGAGACAAAGGTGATGCTAAAGGGCTCTGGTTTTGTTGTGTTCAGGTGCTTAGAATATATATCAAACCAAGTAATATAGATATATATATTAGTATATACAGGGCGATACCAGTACAGTGTCTAATGTGTCTAACGTGGAGTACTGTAGCTCAGTGGTTAGAGCACTCGCCTTGCAAGCGAGAGACCTGGGTTCGATTCCCAGCAGAACAAAACCTTGGGCAAGTTTCCTTACTCCACACACCTAATAATAATCCCTCAAGAAAAAAAAATAATAAATTGGTCACTTCAATCCAGACTGTTTGTGGGACACTGCTGCGCATAATTGGCTGCCGCATTTCGCCCACAAATATACAGTCAGTTCACTTTACAGTATATTCTGTGAAGCGCTTTGAGACGGCTAGAAGATGTGAAACGCGCTATTTCAAATACAAGGATTATTATTATTATTATTATTATGTCTTACAAGAATGATTTTTTTGGATAATGGGGTAGTTATCACGACTTTTTGGTCACTCTGTATATCAAACCAAGTGAAGAAACTTAATTGAAGAATTGTTCTTACTGTGGTCCTTACTATACACAATCAACATAAACAAAACTGTAACTAGCACTTTAAAGGATAAATCTTTAGGAATTATGAAGGGAATTTGAGTTTGTGAAGAATAAAAAATACTTCTTATAAAAGAAGTATCCTTCCACTAGCTCAGATGATTTCGCCAAATTCAACTAAAAGAAACCTATCGCTCAACATAAAATAGGTTCCCATACATTCAACAGAGCAACTTCAAACTTGTTCAGATTAAATCTCCATTGCAATGTAATCTATCATCATGTGTTTCTATTAATAAGGTTTGACTCAATTCTGTGAAAGCACAATGATGAATATAACACCGTACAGTTAGGCATGATTGCACATCACTTTCCATTGAATTTAGGTCTGATCTGAGGCAATCTCAAGATGCTCAATCACTTTTCCTTCCACTAGCTCAGAAACCTTCAAAACATCAGTGTGACATTGAAATAAATGAGTGTCCAACCTCAAACTTAATATCTTTGGCTCCATGTTACCAAATTACATTTGCTCAAATAACCCAAGGTTTGGACGTATTCTCTCAACATTATCAGTATGTCCACTTACAGGAGGGGGTGGGGTGGAAACTTAAAATCTTGTTACTTCTAAAGGTCTGCTGCTGAAGGCTTTGACTGCAGCTGTAAAGAGAATTAACAAGGAAATATTTCTGTCCAGACAGCCATAGTAGCCAGCAAGATTTATCTATCAGCTGGAATTGGTTGGACATTTATAAACATGGAAACAAGTCAGTCACTATTGGTATTTCTCCCCATTACAAATCACCTACACGTAAAAACCTACACATAATGCCAACCAGAGTTTCAGATCAAAAAGAGGCACAGTTGAGCCACTTTAGTGAATCATGGCAGATCTTGTTGACTGTGTATGACTGTGTAAGGACAATACATCACTTTGATCTAAGCAATTGAATACAAAGTCAGGTCCCTTTCAGGGGATCTAAAAGAGAATTTAGGAGGAACTGTTCACACAGAGGGTTGTGAGCTTGTGGAACTCCTTGCCTGAAGCGGTTGTTGAATTAGATAGTACAGAGGAAGCTAGACCTTCACGTGTAGGAAAGAGGAATAGAAGGGTATGGGAGTGAATAAGGAAAGGATGGAGACTCATGTGGGGTATAAACACCGGCATGGACTGGTTCGACTAAGTGGCCCGGTTATGTGGTATACATTCTTTGTCGTCTTTTAATGCCATCTTCCCGCCTTGTCTCCATAATCCTTAATATCTTTACATCCCAAGTATCTCTCTCTCTATTGCAAGTGCTTCCAATTAATTCTGTCTGTACAGCCTTCTGGGTAACGATATTTCCTTGGCAGGAATCTCTCCCTGAGTTCCAATGTATATTTATTCAAATTCATAATTCCATTCTTCCAAACAGTGCGGTCCCAGTTATAATAATCATCCTAGGGTTTGATATAATCTAATATAATGCCATTGAAAAGCTTTATAAGATTCAATGATTATTTTTTAGGTGAATGTGATGCTTCCACAAATTTTCCACAATCAGCCATGAAGTGAATGACCAATTTTACCAGGGAGATTGTTGACCAGGACACTGGGAGAAACTCCCTTCTCTTTTTTAGTAGTGCTATGGGATCTTTAAAATCCACCTGAACAGGTAGAGGGGCCTCAGTTTAATGTCTCATTCGAATAATGGCACCTCCAAAAATACAGCACATCTCTAGCAATGCACTAGCATTGCAAGCCTAGACTATAAAAATAATATCACATCATCAAGGCATTTCAAGCCCCCTTATAGGATTTACTCTAAGGTGTCCTGACTGTGTATTTATAGATGAATACGGTAGCCAAATTGCACACAGCAATATCCCACTAACAGCTAAGTAGTTAATGACCAATTTGATTTGGAGGATTGTTGGCCAGGACACCAGGAGAAACTCTTCGCTTTGGCCATGGGATTTTGACTAGGAGCTCAAAGTCCTGATGTGGAGCTTGAACCCACAACTTTCTGACTCAGAAGCAGGCATGCTACCAATTTAGTCAAGCTAACAGTTAATTCGCTATCAGTGCACATTGTTACTATGCTACCTTAAACTCACTGATAGCATTCATTTCTGGGGAATAAGTGACTTAAAATCAGAATTGTGTCCGACGACAAAACCTGGGTTACTCTGATTAACAGTTTGGAACACTAATTGGTTGAGATCTCAAAAGTGATATCAATTGTGTTCTCCAGACCATAAAAATAGCATTTAATTTATGATTTTAATATTGAGCACATTTTAATTTGAACTAAGATATTCACATAAGTAAAAATACAGATGCTATTGTCAGTAATAACATAATAATAATAATCCTTGCATTTGATATAGCGCCTTATCACGTCTTCAAGAAGTCTCAAAGCGCATCACAGAAAGTGAATTGACTGTATATAGATATAGCACCTTATCACATCTTGAAATGCCTTGATGTCTTAAAGAGCTTCACAATATTTACTGTAAAGTGTAGTGACTATGTATTTGTAGGCAAACACAGCAGCCAATTTGAGCATAGCAATGTCCCACAAACAGCCAGGAGGTTAATGACCAATTTAACTGGAGGATTGTTGGCCAGGAGACCAGGAGAAACTCCCTTCTCTTTTTGACATATCAACTTCTGCATCCTTCCAACTCAAAACGAGGAAGAGATTAAGAGAGGGCTGTGTTTTATTCCGGCTTTGTTTCCCCAGGTGAGTGAAGCGGAGGTGAACGGTCAGTTCGAGTCGGTGTGTGAGTCCGTCTTTGGTGAGATTGAATCTCAAGCAGTAGACGCCTTGGATCTTCCCGGCTGTTTCCGGACACGGAGTCACAGTTATCTACGCGCTATTCAAGCCGGCTATTCACAGGACGATGACTGCATACCTTCAATGTCGTCCACGGCTTTGGCCTCCACAGTCCGCTCCACCACAGGTAACCATTTGCTTTGAATGAAACTAAATGCATTTGTTTAGTTAATCTAATTTGGGGGAGGGACTAGTTACAAATATTTTGTGTCTTATAATCATTAAATCTTAAAACTCCAACAAAGCTGTTTTTAAATACTCCGGATCCTATCCCCTCATCCCTACCAGCATTTTTTTGTAGAAGTTTTGGAGTTGGTCAGCAACACCTTACATGTCAATGACTTAACTTGAAAACTCCATTGTAATACTCCAATATTACACCACATTGTACCACTGCACCGTGAATTCTCTATACTGTAACCATTGCTACGTTAATCTCTTTGCATTATACTACAGTCTCTGCCTTACAACACCTTTCAGACTCAGTACATTGAATCACTGCACTGTTAGCAGACTACTTTATACCACTGTCCTCAGACACTGCACTGTTACAGATTCTCTTCCCCTTCTTACCCTGACCAGTGCTAATTATTGACATTGGTTCTGATCTATGCGATATCACGTGCATTTTCCCCCTCTATTTTATTTTAAGAATGCATTCATCAAATAACTAGCAGATTTTGGCGATAAAATATAATGATTGAAATGCAAGTTATAAAGCACAATGGAAAAAACATGTAATGGTTAAGAAGAACACAGTGTATGCGACAAAATGGTCAAATCAATATTTAACTGTGTTTGCAGAGTTGGTTTATTATTAGGAATACTGTGTTTTTTTTTATTTACAGCACACTTGTTTCTGAAAGCTGGCAACTTGCCTTTATTTCACACTGGGCTGCCTCATCAGTTTTCTGACTGATCATCCAATACAATTTCATGTCTGTACATCGAACGTGTCTGACTCCTCAGTTTTAATGATCTGAAAAAGAACATTACAGCAACAGGTTGAAATTTTGTAGCAATATATAATTTGCGAGAATATCACAGTTATGTTTCAGGGAAATTGTCCTGGATTAGTATACCAAGTGTAAGGTAATAACATTGGCAGGTATCACCAAGTTGGGGGGGAGCGCGGGGAATCAGAGGAGGCAGCAAAAGATCTAGAAAGGAGAGTATGATCAGGTGTGTGCTTAGGCTCTTCACTGGCAGATGAACTTTAATACAGATAAATGCAAAATACTACATATTGGAACTAAGAATAGGAAACACATGTACTCCATGGATGGGATAGAACCTGCCAAGGGAGAAGGAAGCTGTAACAGATTTAGCGGTGTTAGTTGACTCATCCCTCACAATGTCACGATGAAGCAGGATAGAAATGAAAGAATATCAGTCAGGTTTCGGGGGAAGAGAGGTTTTACTCAAGAAGCTAAAAGATTGGCTGAATATTCAACCATGACTGAAATCCATTAACCTATTTTATACCTCCGGACTGCAATATTCAGACAGGATCATTTTAACATTGTGAATCTGACACATCTCGCCTCCAGAACAATAATAATAATAATAATAATCCTTGCATTTGATATAGCGCTTTTCACGTCGGGAGGACATCCCAAAGCGCTTCACAGAACACACTGTAAAGTGAATTGACTGTATATTTGTGGGCGAACGCGGCAGCCAATTGCGCACAGCAATGTCCCACAAACAGTCGTAGATTGAAAATGACCGATTTAATTATTGGTTTTGGTTTTTGGAGGGATTATTATTAGGCGTGTGGAGTAAGGAAACTTGCCCAAGGTTTCGCCCTGCCTGGAATTGAACTCAGGTCTCTCGCTTGCAAAGCGAGTGCTCTAACCACTGAGCTACAGGACTCCACAAGTACTATCAAGTACTATATAAGTACTATATATGATAAATATTATAAAAAGTGATTTTTTTNCTTAAAAATGCTTTCAGGCCACAAGAGCCTGAGGCAGAAAATCAGTCAATTTTGTAGTACAAAGCAATCTTTGCCTCAACATTGTACTCACTGTTATGGTTATGGGTATCTCGAATTTTTGCCCAGTTAGCAGGTTACATTCATTTCCATGAATTCCTTCCAACCATTAACATAATTCACATCTTTGAATGCTTGCAAATTCTGTTTCAACATTGCATCTCTCTCTTCCTCTACCCCGCCCTCCATGTGTGCTCAGTGAAGGTTAGTGTCTATCCTGCAAGGAGTTAAGGGCAAGACAAAATTCCAGCCCACTTTGGTGCACTATAGAATCTTTAAATTATCTTAAAATGGAAGTAAATAGATATCTGAAAACAAATATTGAAGGTTATGAGAAGCAAACAGGAGAATATGATTAGTGTGAAGGGCTCATATGGAGAAAATTACCAGTTCAGTCGTGGTGGGTGAAATAGCCTGTTTCTGCACCAGCATTTGATTATTCATTATAGCTGCTGGACATTACTAAAAGCCCTGACATTTCACTTGAGCTGTTGGCCTATGACCACAAAATAATAATCCTTACATTTGATACAGTTTCTAATCACGTCATTGAAACACCTCAAGGCGCTTCACGGGATTTACTGTGAAGTTTAGTGACTGTGTATTTGAATGCGAGAAAACAAACAGAATAATGTTAATGTAACAGAAATTATTGCAAGCTCAGGGCAATAGAAATAAATGGTTGATAACTTGTGACATAGGACAAAATATAGGTAACAAATGGAGGGATATCCACAATAAGATTAATTAAACATTACTTGGTGGAAAGTTTAACCATTCAATTTCTAAATGTGTCGGATAAATCCTTTTCATAGAATCATAGAATTGTACAGCACAAAAAGAGGCCATTCGGCCCATCAAGTTTGTGCCGACTCTTTGAATAGAGCAATTAATGTCAATCCCACTCCCAGCCCTTTTCCCATAACCCTGCAAACCCGTGCTCCTCAAATACCTGTCCACCGCATTTTAAAAGTAGTTATCGAATCAGCCTCAACCACCCTTTCAGGCAATGCGTTCCAGATTCGAAAAACTCGCTGCTTAAAAAAAATTCTTCTCACCTCCCCTCTGCTTCTTTTAGATACTATTTTGAATCTGTGACCTTGAGTCACCGACACACCCACCAGTGGAAACAGTTTTTCCCTTTCTAACCTATCAAATCCCCTCATGATTTTGAAGACCTCTATTAGGTCTCCTCGTAACCTTCTTTGCTCCAGTGAGAATAATCCCGGCCTCTCCAGCCTTTCCTCATAATCAAGGTCCCTCATTCCTGGCACCATCCTCGTAAATCTCCTCTGTACCCTTTCCAATGCCTTAACATCCTTCCTAGAGTGTGGTGCCCAGAACTGGGCGCAGTATTCTAACTGAGGCCTAACCAGTGTTTTATATAGGTTAATCATAACCTCCTGACTCTTGTACTCTATACCCCTATTTATAAAGCCTAGTATCCCATATGCCCCTTTTACAGCCTTATCAACCTGTCCTGCTACCTCCAAGGATTCATTTACCTGAACCTCCAAGTCACTCTGTTCTTTCACCCCCCTTAAGATTGTATTACCAGCCTATGTTGCCTCCCCTCATTCTTTCTACCAAAATGCATTACCTCGCATTTCTCCACATTGAAATTCATCTGCCATGTCTCTGCCCATTTTACCATTCTGTCTATGTCTTCCTGCAGTTGGCTCCTATCCTTCTCACTGTTTACCACCCTATCTAACTTTGTGTCGTCCGCAAACTTGGAAATGGTACTTGCTATACCCAAGTCCAGATCACTTATGTATATTAAGAAGAGCAGTGGTCCTAATACCGATCCCTGGGGGACGCCACTGTACACTTCCCTCCTGTCAGAAAAGCAGCCGTTCACCACAACTCTCTGCTTTCTGTCTCCCAGCCAGTTCTGGATCCTACTGCCACTGTCCCTTTTATACCATGGGCTTCTATCTTTCTTACAAGTCTTTCATGAGGCACTTTGTCAAATGCCTTTTGAAAGTCCATATCCTGATTCTAAAATGTTAAGTGTTCTGCATTGGTTTACATTAAGTTATCTCAGGAGCCAGTTACAATATCCAGCCTTGTGTAAACACTTTTCAAATCAGCTGATGTTGAAGTGGAAGAGTTTTCTAACTAGATGAACACAGTTGAGCAGTTTACCAGAGTATAATTACCCATAATTAAAATTAATGCAAAAATCAAGGCCGTGGAACTAAATGCTGCATTTTATTACAAATCACTTGATCATGTTTAAATGTTATAAAAATCCAAGTGGGAACATTCAAAACATTCCTGATTGTTATTCTAATTAATATTTAACACAGTCCGTAATGGTCATGGATTCTCTGCACCGCGTTGAAAGGTTTGTCTTTGAAGCTGTATTATACCGCATAAATTATTTAATTTTGAAGCACTCCTCAAAGTAATCACAGCTGCTGGGTTTTGTATAATTCTCATCTTCCTGCACAAAGCCCCAAGCAAAAAAAAAGTTCAGGAAAGATGAAAATGGGATTTCATTCTAAGTTATTAAAAGGAAGATAATAATAATAATAATAATAATAATAATAATAATAATAATAATAATAATAATCCTTGTATTGATATAGCTTCACAAAATATGCTGTAAAGTGAATTGACCATATATTTGTGGGCAAATCGTTATGTACAGACAAACGATGTTGCTTCATTATTCTCTATCCGGGGATAAATAATATGATAAACATGTTCGCTTTCCGGGGGCAACAATCCCTCAAAAAAATGTGGTCACTCAATCCACAACTGTCTGGGGGACACTGCTGTGTGCAATTGGCTACCACACTTCACTCATAAAATACACAGTCAGTCCACTTTACAATATATTCTGTGATGCGCTTTGAGATGTCTGAACGACGTGACGAGGCTCTAGATCAAATTCAAGCTTTATTTATGTGTTTGTTTGTTTGTTCACTACTTTGTGTATATCTGTACGACCATCATTCAATACTCAAAAATATAACTTTAAATTTGTATAACACCTTTCACGTTGGGAGGACATCCCAAGGCGCTGGACAGTCAGTGTTTCGGACCTGAGCTGGGGGTCATGATTGGGGAGGGTGGAGGGCAAGGGGGGAAGCAGGGTGATTGAAAGTGCGGTCGAAGAG